TGGTAAGGTTCAGACTTTTGGATTTTGGGGTCGGTGCTTTAGGTTTTAAGTCTTGAAGCACAATCTTGGGAAGCCTTAGAAGGCTTTTTGTTGCCCATAGGGTTTGGGTTTGGGTGTTCCAGCCTTTGGGGCTTTGTACGCTCTGAGGAGTTCTGTCATTTTGCATCATCCCCGAGCATGCAGTCAACATGCGCTATAACCTGAACTCCTAGAATCCCCCTAAGTAAGCCATATAATACTCCCTCATATAATCCCACATATATCTCCCTTGAACCCCTTTAAGGAGCTTAGACTATAGCTTAACATGCAGGTGTCTGCTGACAGTGCTGGGTTGATGGTGCTTCCGTAGTAGCATGATACTTAACTTACTGGTTCTTAGCAAGGAACATGGGAGTAAAGGGTTTAGGGGTTATAGAGGGATTATACTCCCCTATTCCCTACTAAGAACCATTAAGCAAACCGTGCGGGTGAACTTATCTCAGAGGCACACTGGATACACCCCATCTGAAACTGTAAACTGTAAACCTTCATGAAGCCTAACCTTCCGCTGATCCAGCGGTAGCCTGAAAAGAAGCTAATGTGGACTACTGTCCTTGTAGACGAATTCCGTACGAGGACCTGACAAGAAGCCCTACTGTTTTTCAAGTCTTCCTACCGCGCTGGAATCAGAACCTGTCAAAAAGCTCCATCGGGTGGGATGAAGTTTGGTCAACTTGGAGATTCCCTTGTGTAATTCCTCTCTTCCCGGACTATGACTCTGTATTCTGTGATCATACTAGGACTCCTAGCGCTACTGAAGACTTGAGCCCTAAACCCTTAACCCTGAAGCCCTCAACCCTAAACCCGAAATAATCCCTGGCCCGGACAGACATGGAAAACGCAGCCTCCACCTTCTCCTTTGACTCTGCTGCTGCAATGAGGTCCTTCGCACACTGTGATGGGATAAGGGTTTAGGGTCTGGATTTTGGGGCTCGGGGTTTAGGAGAGGAGTTCCATGACTAAATCCCCAGAACCCCATAATCATCAAACCCAGACTTAGGTTGCTCATGAACAGTTCTGGATCCCTACTGTTGATGGATGAATTCTTGCACCACCTTGGGGCCCTAAACTACTGTAATTCCTAAGACTTTAGGGACTTCAGGTGGTGCAAGATTTCCTCCATCAACTGCATGTGCACGTGTGACTATCGCGAGCTCCGGCGAAGCATCTTAGAACTCTGCCCTTGAGAATCAAGGTTCTGCAGCTGCACAGGGCCTTAGACGGGGTAATTCAGAATAATTTCAATAATGGGTTATATTGGGGCAATATTGGGGCAATATTGGGGGATAATGGAAAATAAAATGGAAACTACTACAAGATTTAGGGTTTAGGGTTAGGGTTTAGGGCTTAGGCAGGGTCATTTAGAATAATTTCAATTCCCAATATGGATAATGGAAAAGAAAATGGAAACTTCTAGAATGGGTTATATAGGGTATATATTGGTGGTTATTGAATGATTCATTTCCCAATTTTAGGCCATTTTGGTACTATTCCCAGTGTAAGTCACCCTTTAGGGTGAGGTCGGATGAGGTCACTTTTTCTTGCTCGGCTTAGAAGACAGACATCCCAAAGTGCGAGATGCACGTTCAAGACTGACACCCCGAATACAGAACTGCTGAATTCCTTCCGTTACAAACGCTGGGTACAAACAACAGCTTTGGCCGTTCCTAAAGGGCTCTCGGAACCTCTGAACGCTGAACCTGACATGATAGATTCGAGCGTAAGCCCAAAACCCTTAAAAGCCCTAAAGCTGCAACCTTCGAAAATCCCGATAAAAGCCCTAAATCCTAAACAGCGGACGGCCTCTATGTAACATTCCTCATCAAGGGAGCTACGAGCAAAAGGGCCACTAAACAGTACATCCCCAAGCCCGAAACACTACCTATCCTGGAAGGGATCCCTTTCATCATAGAATTACAGGGGCCTGAACAATTACCGACATCATGTTAAAGTCAGCTTGAGGTACTCTATATCATCATTGTAAAGGGAAGTTGGGACCCTAATCTTGGTCATCATTGGAGGCTCTACGCTAAGGACCCCGTAAGGCACTACTTAATCACAGCTTCCATGTTCAGCATCTAGCTCGTCTTCCATGTTCTTGTCTGCTTGAAGATCCATCATTGGCAATTATTTAAGTGCCTACGTACCCCGCCCTAAATCCTAGCCCCTAAATATTCTATGAATTTCCATCTTCTTCTCCTACTAGTATGAACGGTCTATTACTCCTCCTGAAACTCTTACTACCATTCCTTTTGCCGTGACTATTGTGATTTCTTTACTGCTGCTACTAAAAAATCCTAATAGAACCCCTAAACTCTACACCCTTAAAACCCTAAACTCTAAAAACCCTAAAAACCATTAAAAAACACACACACGCACTTAAAAATCCTAAAACCCATAAGAACACTAAACATCCTAAAACAATAAAAATTCTAAACAGCCCAAAAACCCTACAAACCCTTAAAACCCTGAACCCTACTCGCCCCCCCTCCCCCCCTCCCTGACCAGGCCTCAGCAGACTTCAGCTCCGCAGCTGCAAGTCCTGCCACCTTGGCTTCTTCCAGGGCCGCCTGGGTCAGGGGTTTAGGGTTTAGGGTTTAGGGTTTAGGGTTTAGGGTTTAGGGTGGAAGGAGTCTACCCTCTGAGACTTTGGGTGTTTTAGGGTTTAGGGTTTGGGGGTTGTTTAGGGTTTATAGGTTTAGGGTGTTTTAGGGTTTAGGGTTTGGGGGGCTTAGGGTTTAGGGTTTATAGGGCCTGTAGGGTTAGGAGTTTAGGGGTTTAAGGTTTAGGGATAAGGGTTTAAACATTAGGGTTTAGGGTTTAGAGGTTAACGGTTAGGATTAGGGGGTTCGGGGTTTTGGGATTACCGGGTTACCTGTCAGCAAAGAAACATGGAGCCCCGTGAAAAGGCCTATGTGTAGGTATGCAGGGATATTTCGTTAAAGCAGGGATATTGTTCCAAGGCTTCCGGCAATAACAAGAAAGGTCATACAGTAAAGACATGGTGACAATGGAAAGGAATGAGGGCTGCTGTACCATTCATGGACCCCAAACCAAACCCAAGGGTGCATAGCAACTGACTAGGGGATGGGCGAATGCAAAGAAAACCGATTTGTTCATTTAGGGCTTGCGGTTCGGGGTGCTTCGTAGCGCACGTATACGCTTCAGGGTCGAGGGTTTGGTTTTGGCAGGGAACGGGGGAATGGGCTCTATAAAGTGCGATAGGGGATTATTTATGGATTTGTTGCTTTAATGTTTTTCGATTTGCGTATATTTAAGGTTAAGCGTCGAGGCTTAGGTTTCAGAATGCAGGGTTCACAGTGACCCTTTGGACCTGAGGATGTTAGGTTCACTTGGGGTGCTAAGGCTTAGGGTTCAGGGTTTGCCGTTTAGGCTTAATGTTCAAGGAATAAGGCAGTTAGTGCTGTAGCAAGTCTACGCTGCGGGCCCTAAACCGTAAACCCGAAACCCGAAAAAGTCCAGGGTTGGAGATTGGACTTCAAGGTATAGGTCGTGGTTCAGGGTTTAGGGGTTAGCTTGGTAAGAAATCGCCAGGCCTCTGGAATCGGCACTGAATATGTAATCCCCTACCCCCCCATCCCCCCTAATATCAAATGCTGCCAGCTGCCAATGTACGCTAATGTAATTACCACAATGGGAGTATTTGATATTAGGGGGGTGGAGGGGAGGGTCAAACTATGGGGAGGGGATTAGCAACATAATGTGTCTTTCCAAACCCGGAGCCATGCATGCTAGGCTGGATCTATGGGCCAGTGTGTGGACCAGTCCTCCTATACGTCTTACATACCCTAAATACGTATTGCATACCCTAAACATCCCTACAAGCCCAATTGAGCGCCCATACTCAACTTAGGACCCAGAATACAAGTAGGCATCTGTGCAAGGAGCTCATAATCATAGTTGGGACCTTAGAAGACGAAGGACTCACCCTTCCCACTGGCCTTGAGGGAGTCCACGCTTCCCGAGTCCTGCAAAGCATTGAAGGTTTACGATTTAAGGCTTAGTCTTAGGATTTGAAGGTTTAGGGCTTCTAGGCGCAGAGGCTGATAGGGGCGTTATGCCACCTGATGGTTCAGGGTTGCTTAAGGATACTGGGTTCGCAGTGGGACTCGCGGACCATGCGTCTAGGCCTGAGGCGCGCAATGGTACCGGGATGCGTCAAAGCCCTAAATGCCAAACCCTCAGCCCTAAACCCTAAGCCGGAACCCTGAACCTCAAACCCTAAACCGCGAACCCCCCGATGTGGTAGTCCTCAGCAGCTTTCAGCTTCTTGCGTGCCTCCTGCTTGGCGCGCGCGGTGGCAAGAGCCTGCTTCACAGGGGGTTTTGGAGCGGCTTCAGGAAAAAGCTTTATGGTGGCCCTCCTAGGTCCTAAGTGTGAAACAAGGTTGCTCAAGGTGTTTGCCTGCGATTTGGAATCCTAATTTACATGCATAGATGATCTTGCTGTTTGTTCCAAAAAACTCTATGGGTGTTTAAAAGCATTTGATGAGGATCAGCTTCTGTGCAGCATGCCCTGACTTGAATGAATCCTTCAGATGCCTTGGTCACCTTGAATATATTCAAACGAAGCAGATCTTACGATTTACAACCTGTGGCCTCGGGGCATGTGCTTAAAAGAAAAACGACATGTGCATCGGTGCCAAGGGCTGAGTGCTTCGCCTTAGCGCTGTCAGCTTCGACGCCGCTTATATAGTTTAAACGTCTATGTCAGCCACCACTTCTGCAATGTTAGCAGGATGCATTGTAAGGCATTCTGCCCAGGCTCGACATTCCCAGACCCAGAATTGCAACACGTCAGCTAGAAACTCTATGCCTGTTCCCTGCTCTTCGGAAAGCAGCCATCTCTTCCCTCCGATAGCTTCGTGTCCTCGCTTCAGCACAACCTCTGCTCGCACCTCCATGTCTTGGAACGCCAAGATTCTCGGGTATCTAAAAGACGTCGCAGGTTGCGCACGTTGGGGTAGAGGGGTTTCAGTTGACAGTTGGAGTGATTTCGGTGTTGGATCGCGCTTCAGCTGATTATAACCCTCCTAGTGCCCTCAAAAATATTCCCCCCCAAACCCTGAACCCTCTTTAGCTGCCGCAAAGAATTCTTGACCTTAGTCGGGGGGGTAGCCAAAGAGCTCCGACCTTGGGCCCTCAAATCTAGCACCACCCTAATGCCAGAATCCCGCCATTATTACTATTATTACTATTATTACTATTATTACTATTATTACTATGATTACTACTTTTTCTTTTGTTTTGTATTACTACTATCTTCCCTTCCCCAAATCACTACTAACAAGCAGGAAGCCAAGGTCACCTTGCATGGGAGACTCTCCCAGCCTTCTCCGCAGCCTCGACCTCCGAGGAGGCGACCTGTACCATTTGGGGAGCTTCATGAATATGAGGCCCAAGTTTATAGTCCCCCCCTTAAGTAGATAGAATATGGGGTATATGGGGATCCTATTATGACATTGTGCAATTCCATATTCGATTCTATCTACTTAAGGGGGATTATAAACCCTAATATACCATAATCCTTAATGTACGGACTCCCTAAAGAAAGCCCTCGTTGTTAGAACTCTCCATTGCTAGGTATCTGCAGGATGCAGCGCCTTGATTCATGTGAACTCAACTCTTCACAGTTCGGTCCTGTTTGAGCGCTTACAAACTTCTACCCGTACCACAGTTGCTGAGTTCTTTTGAGGACTCTGAAATGTTTCTGGAAACTACAGTAACAGAAATGCCCGAATGCGTGCTTGAATCCTGACAACTTGCGGAATTGGGGAGCTTCAGCATTTTGAGGCCGGTTGCGAGTTCATGCGATGACAGGTCCTGAAGCGTTGACAGCCCTGCCTCAAGAACGGCCCCAGAAGTGACTTCAACTTCTTACTTCCCAGTCTTTACCATCAAGCACACTCTCCTAGGCAAACTGACACCTTGATCCCCAAACCAGTGCACGACATTGACAGCTCACAGGCCTACAGAAAAGTGCCTCTACTCCTGTTGGGGCATCATAAGAAGTGCCTATGCAAGCATCAGCTCGGCAATTGACTGCTGATTTCTTCAATGCCCCTCGGCCAGCGTCATAAAGCTTGAAGCTCAACACAGCTCAACAAGCAGCTTCTTATTGGCGTTTCAGATACTCGGAAATAGACTCTGGCAAGGAGCCTCCAACCCATTTCTACATACCGCAAGCCCAAAACTGCCGCTCAAATCCCACACTCCACTCTCCACACTCCAACACCTATACAACCTTAATAGATCCCAAGACGTCCAAACCCACTCATGGCACCTCGGCCTTTTTGGCTTTGTCGATTGCTGCTTCCAACCTTCACCAGAGCACTTATCTTTCCCAGCGCGTGCCCTCAAGTTGAAGAAAGGTTGACAGGGTTGATATTGGGGTTATATAGGGATAATGGAAAAGAGAACGGAAACTACTATATTATAATTCGGAATATAAGGGTATATACGGGTATATAGGGGTTATGTAGGGATAATGGAAAAGAAAATGGAAACTAGTATTTAGGGTTTCGGGTTCAGGGTATGGGGTACCTATTTGGAGGTCTCCCACAATAAGGTTTAAGTATTTTGGAGTCTAATAATGGGGTCCATGTATTTAGGGGAAACTACCAATTTGGGGAGCCGTAGCTTCCTGGGGATCCCAGAACTAAAAGAAATCTAGCTGGGCAAGCTAGATCTCGTGGTCGCAAGAGACGTGCGATTTCTGTGCGTTTTGCAGACTGACAACAATACTCTTCTCATAGCCATTCGAACCTCACAGGTTTCAGAGTCAAGTTGAAGATTCATTCTACCAAGCCCTGAACCCTAAGCAGAGGAACATTCCAAACATGCCAAAACAAGCTGCAGATCTTAAGATCTCAAAGAAAAGGGCCCGGATGAGGGTGGATCCCCAAAATGGAAAATCAAATGGAACAGCGAATGGAAAATGAAATTGACACCCTAGGTCCCTTTAAAGGGGTATGTAGGGATATTACCCCAATAACGGTTTGGAAAAGAGAATGGAAAATGACATCAATTAGTTTTTGGGGCCTGGATAGTAGCAAAAGTGGAGAATCAAATGGAGAAAGGACAATGACAGCTGTGACTATCATGAGGTACCTGGCTGCCAACATGAAGTTCGAGTTGCTGGGATCTGAACTAGTTTAAGGGTTTAGGGCTTTAGGGTTTTAAGTTTAGATTTTAGGGCGTAGGATTTTTTCGGGTTTAGAGTTTGGGGTTGGGGTTTAGGGTTTAGGGTTTAGGGCACGCTGCGCATCTGTTTGACTCGGTTCGTTCCTTCCCTTCTGCGTGCTTCCATACCCTCCTGCCACGTGCCCTCACACAAAACTTGGCGCAAAACCCCTACAGCTAGCCTGCCCCGAAACTTACATGATGCTTTCCCAAAATTAGGGGGGTTACCTCTATGTCACCCCATATATAATCTTTATTAACCTCAACCCTAAACCCTAATCCTTATCATAGGGGCCCTACGGAACCTGGGAAGGGATCCTATGAAGACTTCAGTACTATGATCTTGAAAACGTGGGGCTCCATATTCACTTTGGGAGAGGCGCGGAGGAAACTATCCCCCTACATACTCCCCATAAAGCCCTTTGTGGGGCTCCCCTATAACAATCCATATGATCCATACAACAGCCTTAAGCCCTAACCCCTAGGGGTTTGGTGTTTGATCATATGGTAGTTTCCCAAAATAGGGGGACCCCAATATAGGCCCCCAGATACGATAGTCCTTGTTATAGCGACCACCAATAAGGTACCCCTAATTTTGGGAAACCCCCATATCCCCCTGCCTTGCCACGTCTCCACCGGCAGAAGCGTCCTTCAGATCGGCCAAAGCCTTCTCTTTCGCCTTCGGACTCCGATGTGCCACGGTTAATGGAATTTACAATTGAAAGGTTGCGAATGTTGTGGTTTGGGATCTGAGGTGTGGGGTTTAGCAGTTTAGCTTTAGGGCTTGAGGATTAAAGAGTTTGCGGGTGTGGGCAGGGGCCTGCAGGTGTTGGCTTAAACTTCTGGGCTTTGATAATATTGGACAGGTACAGCTGGAAAGGTCTCAACTGATGCTCATGATGCTGAGCCTTCTGGCCGGGAACAGCTGGAAAGGTCCTAACTGATTCTCATGCCGGGCCTCTTTGCGACACATTTCAATAGCTCATCGTTCACATATCTTTCGTCCGAACATGGCTAGCAATCCTGCAAGGCCGTGCTGCCTAAGCCACGGAACCTAGACTTCCTAAGACTTTAGTCCCCTTCAGTAGGTAGAATATGGCTTTGGGTATATTATAATAAGATCCTCATATATCCGATATTCTATCTACTTAAGCGGACTATACACCTGGAAGCTCCGCCTCTCTTGAACTACCGAAGCGGAAACCCCAAACCACTGGCCTTCTTCATCTCAGCAGCCTTTGCCAGCTCCTCGTCGGTGGGCCCCGATGGCTGTGGAGCCTGCTTCATCCACCAAGCTTAGAATCCGAGATCAGTGGGTAGGGTATCGTGGGGAGGTCCCTTGCCAACGAGCGTAAGAGGCTTCAACTAGACGACATACTTGTTTTTGCTAGGGTTGGGTTTAGGTTCAGGGTGTGATGAAGGCTTATGTACGGAAATCAGCGTGAGCCAGCAAGGGGATATGCAAACATTGGCATGCATGGTGCAAGCAAACTGAGCAGTGGACGACAAGTTCTTGCAGGCATTAGCAAGGTGTCTCTGCAAGTTTCTGGCAAAATGTATGGCAGCCAGCGCCGCCGCCCGCTGGAACCGGTCAAGCGCCCAGATCCCAAGAGCGGAGCTTTCTGCGTTGCTGGCGAAAACAGCCCGGGCATATGCGTCAGCGACCCGAGCCACTGACGCCCCGAGCTGAAAATTGAGAAGTAGCCGCTGAACGACCTACGACCTGTCTTGCTAGATCTGGGGTCGCCCACCGCAGGCCACACAGAAAACTCCATAGACTCCTCCTTCAAGGAATCTATAACAGTAAGTGAAACCCAGCCCCTCCTCATGCTCAGAAGGTGGAGGTGTCGATCACAAAGCGATACTTCACATCAGACTTCACCACACGGTCGTAGGACTCCGTGATCTTATCGCCGCTGATGATCTCATGCGGGCAGGTGATGTCGTGCTTTCCGCAGAAGTCCAACATCTCCTGCGTCTCACGGATGCCGCCGATGAGGGATCCCGTGATGGTCTTTCGCTTGGGAATGATGGAAAAGGCATGGAAGTCAAGGGGCTCAGCGGGAGCCCCCACCATCACAAACTTGCCGTTCTGCCGCAGGAAGTCGAGGTAGGTGGGGATGTCATGCTTTGCCGCGATGGTGTCGATGATCATATCCAGGCTGGCGGTAGCAGACTTCACATCCTCCTCATTGGACATCACCTGGGTTGCTGTTAAGGAACTTAAATTAAGTTACCATAATTGTTATAGTAAATAATAGGGTTTCCCCAATATAGTAACTTAATTTAAGTTCCTTAACAGCAACCCAGTCGCTACAAACTTGTCGGCCTTCAGCTCCTTGATGGCCTCGTCGCGCTTGTTCTCGGTGCGAGAGAGAACTGTGACCTCGCAGCCCCAGGCCTTGCCAATCATGACAGCCATGGCACCCAAGCCGCCAAGTCCGGCCACGCCCAATTTCTGTCCTGCCTTCAGGCCGTTGTAGGCCATGGGAGAGTACACGGTGACGCCTGCACACAGCAGGGGCGTGGCACCAGCAAGGTCCAGGTTGTCCGGGATGCGGCACACGTAGTTCTTGTCCACCACGATGCTCTGGGAGTAGCCGCCATAAGTAGGTTTGCCGCCATCCTCGGTGTACTCCAGGCAGTGCTTGTACTTGTACTTGCCGTTGTAAGTCATCACGGCCCCAGTGGCGCAGTAGTTCTCGTCACCTTCCTTGCAGGACTGGCACTCCCGGCAGCTGTCCACCATGCAGCCCACACCAACCTTGTCACCAACCTTGAAGCTGGTCACGTTGGGGCCCACAGCCGTCACGAAGCCACCGATCTCGTGGCCAGGCACCATGGGAAACAGGGCGCTGCCCCACTCTTCGCGTGCCTGGTGCACATCAGAGTGGCAGATGCCAGCGAACTTGATGTCGATGGCCACATCATCGGCTCCCACGGGGCGGCGCTCGATGGTGTGGGGCACCAGGGGGCCCGCAGGCACCAGAGCGGCGTAGCACTTGCAGGACATGGCGGCAAGAGCACAGAAGCGTACAAACTAGCTGGGCGACGTTGCTGTGGATGGAGCCTGTCAGCAAGTTCTCATTTGCAACCAAACCTGAGCATCATCTATGCGACTGCACTGCCCAACATCATGCCCTCGCAATACTTTCGGGCTCATTTCTATGAGCCCTGCAACTCTCGGACCTACTGCTGTCTGTTTGACACCCGAGCTACAGCCGAGTGCGTGCCCCCACGTTACGATCGAGTTTACAAAGCCATGTGTGTCTTACGGCGGTAAAAAACACAAGCTACTTCTTAACTTTGAGCTCCCGTGAGCAAAAGCTCCAAGGTACATTCTCCACACAAGCTCACAAGGCCATAACCAGAATTATTATGGCGACTACACACAGAAGCATACGTACAAGCATTTACCCTAAAGCCTAAACCCTAAAACCCTGAAACCTTAAACCCCAAACCCCTAAACCCTTAAACCCCTCGACCAATACAACACTAAAACCCAAACCTAAAAGATATCTGGTGCAGGGTTACAAGTAAGATTGGCCCCATGGGAGCCAACAAGGCCTGCTTCGGAACCCCATGCTGTGCTCCATGAGTAATAACAGCAATCACAACAGTAGTAGTAGGAGTAATAATAATAGAAACAAGAATAGTAGGAATGATAATAATAGAAAGAATAATAGGAATAATAGTAGTAGTAATGATACGAATAAAAGCAATAATAGTAATAATAGCAATAGCAAAAACCGTTTGTTCAGAACCGTTTCGGGCACCCCTAGCTGCGCAGGGGAGCCTCCTCCTTCTTCTCCGACGGCTCCTGTTATCTAGGGTGGTTCTTTTGACTCAAGCGCTCTGAAGAGTCGAAAAAAAAAATTCCCGACAAAACAGGGCCTCCGCTATAAGATGGCTTGCAGGAGCATTAGGAAGGGCCTCTCTTCAATCTGGTCGGAACAAGTGCAGCTTCATGGGATTCTTGAGGGGTCACAACCACGAGCATCATCAACACCAGCATCTATGTAGAACTATGCATGGAATCCCATGAGAGCCTAGGGTAAAACTTGCGGCATGAGTCGTACTACAACAAGGACCCAGCTGCTTGGTGAAGTTGCTATGTGCTTCTGCATTTTACGGGCATATCTGGAATAGTAGGTTAGATCACCATCCATGTCCTTCTGCTTAGGCAGCATCCTGCCAGCTGCGAGCACCCTTCTCCATGGCAACAGATGGGCTGGTCTTAAGATTAAGGTTACTTTGAGGAAGCGCCCACTTCAAACTTCGAGGAATCTAGAGCTTGGAGGCACTCCTGCATTGCAGATCAACACCTCTTACCACAAACTTCAAGATCCCCGAATCCCCGGCCCCAAACCGTCCGACCCTAGATCATGAATCCTAGAATCGAAATTCCTCAGCCTCAAGTTCCGAACCCAATCGGCGTCACAGGCCCCCAAACTGCAGCACTTTGAGAGAAGCCTTGAACTCCGTAGAGGAACATCTGTACAAGACCTGTGGAAATTTCATAGGAGCAATCACAACACGGGCATTGCTACGACAATTGTCTCCCAGAAAATACCAAAACGGAAAAATCTTGGACCCTACATTGCTGCAGGGGGCATCCAGGCTAGCGATTCTAGGGGTTATATAAAGATGAGACAGGGGTTATTCGAGGATTATGCAGGGATGATATATGAGAAGCTCTCCAGGGGGAAGAGGAAGAACACCCTGAACGGCGCCACCTGCACCGTGATGGCCGTCTCTGTTTCGGCTGCTACCGCCTGGCAGGCTCAAACGTGGGGATTTTCACGAAGGTTGGGTTTCCATCCTGCGGTTCCCTTGTGCTTCGGGGTTTTGTGGTTTGGGGTTTTAGGGTTTAGGGTTTAGGGCTCAGGGTTGGTCTTGAAATTGTGGTCACCCATGCTTGACAGGTTTTAGCCGAATAACAACGGTTCTTAAAAACAACATCCATCTAACCATAACCCAGTTCTAGGGAGCCCAGTGAGATATTAAGGATTCTGAGGAGAAGATCAAGGATTTTGAGAAATCCCCACAAGGTGGCTTGGGCGGTTCATCAAAAGCAATAGGCCATACACATAGGGGTGTGCGGGCACGAAGGTTCAGGGTTTAGGGATCGAGGCCTTCGGGGATGCCAGGAAAGGAGAATGACTCCCAACTGCGCAGAACCAAAACCAGAACCCCAGACCCTGCCTTAGCATGGGCTTTATACAGGTCATTTACATGTGGCTTTTATAATAACGTGTCTGGGCTTTATCGAGAGATAGACTAGGTTCCCCAGTAACCCCTTACAAATAAGGGTACCCTTTTCCTAATATTCAGCTTCGATAAGGAGATCCCCACATAAAAAGGGAAAAAGAGTACTACTGGGGTACCTAGGAGACACAAAGGGTTTAGGGGTTGGAGAGCCCTCTACTTCCTGAACGCGTTTGCCCTGGACTTCTCCCTAATACTTATATCAGAGCCCACCATTTCCGGTTTTTGTTGGCGTTGGTTGTCCCTAAACCTTAAAGCCTAAACCCTGTGGGTGGAGATGTCGCCAAGGGCGAGGGGAATGCTGTTGAGCACGATTGAGTACTCAATTCACCCACCTGCGCCCAAAGCCTAAACCAAATGACTGACTGAACCCTAAACCCTAACCTAAAACATACTGCCGGCATATCAACACGGAAGCCCTACATATCCGCACATATACCCCCTGCATATCCCATACGAACCCTCCAGGATCCCGCCTCCATCATACCGCGCTCCCCCAAGCCCGTGTCAGCCTTTGCCTGGAATTTCTCTTCCAAGGCAGCTCTAGGGCTCAGGGTCTAGGGTTTAGGGTTTAGGGTCTAGGGTTTAGGGCTTAGGGCTTAGGGTTGTTGTTTAAGGCACTTAAACTCTTAACCATGAGCATGTAATGAATAAAGTGATGGTTTTCGCTGGTTATGATAAGATACTTGAACTAATTTACCATGAACATGTAGGAAATAATGTTGTGGTCTTCATTGGCTATGATAACTTGATTTCACTTGTTGAACAGCAAGCCGTCTACACGATCTAAGGTCAAGACAACCTTAAGGAGCACGGGGAAAATTGGATGGTTGCAGGGTGATATAAACTGGCCTTCCTGGGTGGAATTGTAAATTGTGGTTCAGACTGTATGTGCATGTTGCCCAGTGAGGCAGGATATGTGTTATCGGGTTAGCAGATTACAGATCTCAGAAAAAGCCTGTAGGGCCCAGGGTTTGGGATTTGGGTCCCTCCCCTACTGCTCTCAGCTTAGAAGCCCAGAGGTGTTCAGCCGCACACTACCTGAAGCTCCTACCCGTCATACATCAATGGCTTCAGCCCCAAAGAAGAACCGTTTGTTTTGGCCAGTTATTATTACATAGTACAGTATAGCCCGACCCATTTAAGGGGTTGGTTGGAAGCTGAACTCTGCAACATCAACCTTACTTTATGTAGATCTTCAACAAACATAAGTCCTTAACCTCACAAACTTTCAAGATTCGTCCTTGGACTTATGGCTAAAGTACAAACATTCCAATCCTGAAATGAGGCCATTAAGGGGCAGGTCGGTTGAGGTCATGTGAGGTCGTTATCATTTCCAGCCTTTTACCCTCAACATCTCTCTGCCCTAAACCCTCATACTTATCCTTGGCCTTGGCTACTTCGCCTATTGAAGCTTCAATTTTGGAATGTAGTCAAAGTAATAGTCGCCTCCTGGATCCTTTGTATCATCAGGCCCCGAAAATCAAGGGTACCCCAAAAAAGGTGTGTAATTTGCTAAGGCCATCATCAGCTTGAATCACTTGAGTCTCACCCCACCCACCCCCGAATGTTACAGTCCCCCTTAAGCAGATAGAATATGGGGTATATGGGGATCCTTTTTTTCAGTTTTGGGCAATTCCATATTCTATCTATTCAAGGGAGACGATGAGTATATCCCCCTGGACATGAAGTCTCTTAAACGGGATGCTTCTCATGGCAGTCTGCGTAACGACAAGCAGCAATGAGAAAGGGCAGTTAAGATTTAGTTTAGGGTTTAGGGTTTAGTTTAGGGATCTACCGGTGGTTGATAGGGAATGGATGATGGAGATCATTGTTGATACGAAATGGAAGATGGAGATCATACTAGGGGGGTTATGTAGGCTACTAGTTATAGGCATCCATTCTTCCATTGCCTACTCAACCACCAGTAAGGTAGTCATAGTCCTGACTTTCTGGAAAGTTCTTCCTTTTACCAAACTTGATAAACCTCCCCTAAGTCCAGAATTTGAAGACCTTATTCGGGGTTGCTGTTAAGGACTTTAAATTAAGTTACCATATTATAGGTATATAGTAAGCAATAGGGTGTCCTTGCGATAGTAACTTAGTTTAAGTTCCTGGGCAGCAACCCAGTATTGGGTCCACCTCTGCACCAAAGCAAAGACGAGCAAAGCTAAAGTACTGAGGTCTTCAGGATCTACTCAGCCCTTCCTTCACCCCACTGTACCTAAACCCTAAACCCTAAAATCCTGAACCCTAAACCCCTACTGTACTAAAACCAAGAGCAGAACCTTGAACTCCAATTCGGAATCCCGACATGATGGCGGCCTTTTTCTTCTTGGTGCCCTTCTCGGTCTTAGCAGCTGCATCTCCATCCTGCATGTCTTCGCTCAGGGTTTAGGGTTTAGGGACCCCTCACCCCCTAATATCAAACATTCGATATCTGTTGTAATATACCACAATGGGAATATTCTAAAATCTGGGTGGGTTTTAATACTAGTATAAGGGGGAGGGGGGAATGTGAAGGCCCACGATCTCGTGAGCATAGGTCTCCTCTTGCGGATTGCAGGGATGCTTGAGGGACGCTATCGGATTTCATGAGGATATAAGGGCACATAGGGATTGTATAGAGGATTTGTTAATGGATTTAGGGATATCTAGGGGTTATATAGGGGGTATACAACTACATAAGTAGTGCGAAAGTCTGAATCCTTGGCGTGTGGGTCGGCTAAGGGGATTGCATGTGGT